GCACACGTACGTGTTATTGGGAGCGCGGAGGAGGCGTGGAGCGCGGAGGGAGAAAGTAGTGGGGCGCGCTCCGATATTCTATCCTTAGCGCAAGGCGCACGATCGAGAGAGAAAGCGTAATTGGACGTGATGCCTGCTCGCGGTGTCCTTTCGCTGTCTCACACATTTGTTACTAGTACGAGTGAGATACTCCGGTGTCTTTTGCTTGTCAATATTCATAATAATACTTTTATTACACACAAAATGTTTTAATATTGTAAAAAATTGTTGTGCATAATTACAACATTACGTGTAATTTTGAGATTCATTGTAATAGCTTTCCATGCATTTGTAAATTTGCAGCCGAACGCCGAGGGACAGCATTTCTGCCGGTGCGTGTACATACAGGACTTTTCGACTCATAGCGAATTCGATAGCCTGCACTAGTGTACACTGAGTGTAAATTTTCCCAGTGCAGCGTGTTCGATCGATGGCCCCTATTTGGTGTACTGCACTCGTCGTATTCGGTAATATTGCACTATTATGGTACACATCATGTGCTGTGTTCGATTAGCGTCACATTACACTAGTGTAGCACTGACTTAATATTTGGATAGATAAAGCAAACTGAGTGAGTGCAAAATTTCTTGCACTGCCAATTTCGTCAGTGCAGTTTGCTGACACTACTAGGTTACACTCGCATAGTTTAGTGCAACACGAATTCAGTGTAGTATTGGCGCGGTGTGGCACTCGTACACCCACGGTAATTAATTCTGTCCCTCGGAAAATTTCACAAAATAAAAAATGACCACCTTTCTATATTAATTGTCACAATCCATGCACGATTAACGTTACGACTGAACCTTATCGTGCATGAATAGTGACAATTAATATAGAAAGGAGGTCACTTTTCATTTTGTGAAAATTTCCGAGGGACAGAATTAATTACCGTGGGTGTACAGTTTAGTGCAACACGAATTCAGTGTTAGTGTTAAGTCGACCGAATTCGCTATCAGTATAGTCTGTTCTACTCACCCATGAAATATTTGGCGGTTATTCTCATGGCGAATTCAACAGACTGCACTAGTGCGCACCAGTGCGCACTGAGTGCGAACTTTTTTAGTGCCACGCATTCGGAATGTGCGCATCAGTGCGCTTAGATTATCGTATTTGGCAAATGAAAACTGACCTAGTGTAGTGCTGAATTTGTATTCGGACGAACCGAATGAACCGAATGAGTGCAAGAAATATTGCACTGATATTTTTGTCAGTGCAGTTTGGTGTACGGATAAATAAAACTAGTTAGACAGCAAAAAATTACAAAATGGATAAAGAAAGACTATTATTTATTATAGATAAATTATTAGAAACAAGTAGTAGTAGTGATGATGAAGATATGTTATGTTTAATAAAAGAAGAAAGGCCGGAAATTAATTAAAAACAAAAAAATTAAATTATTAATTGAATTATTAATTAGTGTAGTTTTGCATTCGCTCCGTGTCAGGGTAACACCCTATCAGGGCAACACCGTGTCAGGGCAGCACCCTATCAGGGCAACACCGTATCAGGGCAGCACTAGAACCGTGTCAGTGCATATGTATCGAATGTGCCATCAGCCACCTTGTACATTTCGCACCAAGCCAGCGCGCGATTCGAGTCACGTATCATGTTGGCGACTCTCTTATTACAGGCTCTCTAGTATACATATTTGGAAGAAAACCACGAAAATATCAATAACTACTTTATGAGGTTTGATAGAAGAAAAAGGGATGTTCATTCTCAGATTTCTATGAAATTCTCAACTTTCGAAAAGTCACTCAATATCTGTCGAAAACATTTATTTCATAGCAACTAAGATTCATTAACAACATCTTATCTCATCTAATAGAGAAAAAAAGTCAGGTAAAGATCCATCAAATATAACAGACACATTGTGATTGAATTTTATTACAAAAAAATGTACAGGTGATGTTAGTAGCTAAATAATAAGTATTCACATTTCCTTCTCCTTATTTTTGTAAATGCCTGTTACATTTACTATTTAAATTAAATGATACGACAACCACCACATTAAAACAGGTTGCATAACGGCCAAAGATAATATGAAATAGAGTCGCCTTTTGTTACCAGAAGCTGTGTACGAACTATGGCCTTGTGGAATGACTCTTAATTTTAACGATTGCATCAAGAAAACAGCTAGAGAAGCACTGAAGTACAATAGCATTACATAGTAGCCAAACTTCCGAAATAGTAACGATATCAACAGTGCCACATTAATACCGACATACTTATAACCGCAATATGCCAACAGATCTAACGTTGCTAAACTTGTTTGGAGATTCATCACATATAAACTCACAGTATGAACGAGTAATTCAATCAAACCCCAAGCAAGAGCAGAGCTAGCTAATATACCTAATTGTTCGTGAGTAAACCGTTCCTGCATGCCTAAAACTAATCCTGCCATAGCAATGTACGTAAAAAACGCCATTGTAGGAATATACATATCTGGTGCGTTAGTCTCATATCGTGGTTGCAATGGTACATCTTGTTCATATTTGACAGACCAGTCCTATAAAAAGGAATTGTTGAATTCGCAAGTTATAGTAAAAGTTATAATAAATCAGTTGAATTAAGAAATAAGTTCTTTTGATTTTTATAAAAATTTATTTCTACATAAAATAAAAATATCTTTAATGGAATTATTGTAATGGAATTATTTTATCTAATATAGAGTATATTCATCTATCAGTTTTTTAAAATAATATCTTTTGTATAACTTACCTTGTGAGTAAATGGGAAGAACAACAACATTAATTTTGCGAAGACATAATCAGTGTTTACAGCAAAGTAATATTTCAATGCTGTAACTGGAACATACTTTTCAAGATGCTGTTTTCCAGTTCCAACTAATGCGTTTCCATATTGTACCGCCATGTCTGTAACAACTGGTTGAGCCAAAAATTGTGTCGCAAATTGCGGGCTCCCAAATTCTCCTTGATTATCACTGGATAGATAATTTGACATTTGTGGATTGAATCCATATGGAGGTTGTCCCTGTTCAGGAACACCAAAGCCATATTCTGGCACTGTACCATTATTTATAAGTACCTAAGATGATCAAAAATAAATTGATAAATTGATCAAAAATATGTAATATGTAAATTCTATAAAATATTACATATCTTATAGAATTTACATTACATATACTATTAAACATATAAAAATATAATAAGTAACAAATTTTATTGTGTGTAATTTTGACTAGCAGAGAAGCAATTTTGTTCAATGTTAGTCTGTTTTATAAACATTATAAATAATAATCATAATCTAATTTATAAAATATGCTAATTTAAAAAATGTACCTGTTGATTATACATATATGGATTCTGTGCCATTGAAGGAGTTGGTGTAGATAAACCAGCTGGTGGATCTAATAATCTCTTTGGTTTTCCTGTCAATAACAATTTATCTTTATATTGTATAAAAAAAAAAAACAAAAATTTGCTTGCGATTGTATGCTATATGTGACATAATAAAATTAATATTCTTATTATTACATTAGACTGGACGATAATATTAAAATTAATAATCTTATTCCTGCTCTCACTTTCTCTCCTCCTCTTCTCCCCCTCCCTTTCCTATCTCTCTCTGTGTATATGTATATGTGTACGCTTGCGTATGCGTATCTTCCAACAAGCGACACAGTGCAACACAGTGATTATCTCAACTTTGTTTAATATTCTCTCTCTCTCTCTCTCTCTCTCTCTCTCTCTCTCTCTCTCCCTCCCTCCCTCCCTCTCTCTCTCCCTCTCCCTCTCAAATATTTACAATATTCCTTTGTTCTTTGCAGTTAAATTTTAGGTACTTTTTTTCTGATTTTTAATTGCAAGTATACTTACACATTACTTGTTAAGTGTAGAAAAAATATAGCATACTGCAGCTATAAAGTACATGTCATGCAATACCTAAACGTGGCTTTCACATGACCGACATTACTTATAAGAATGATTCATGTAATCAATATATTCTACACATAATTTTTATAAGCAATACAGGAATAAGTATAATGACAATCGTAGATATTATAATTACGCGAAAAGCATAGAATAAGTTTACATTTCTCGCTCATAGGTTATGCTCACCTCGACGTGCATTCGAGTGATTGTAATTCATATTTCTACGATGTTATGTTCTGTGCGAATGTTTTTTCACAATTATTTAGTACGGTAAGCTAGAACTCTACTCGAATGAACTTGAATTATATATACTTGTAAATTATTAAATCAAACAACTTGCGCTACACATCGCTATATTTCGCTACATTCACGTATTCAGCGACCCCTTTTACACCGAGCACAGCCTAGTTTACACCGAGTACTTGATACGCGCATCGACATATAGGCCTGGTTTACATCGTGCACTTGATACGCGTATCAGGTACTATATTCGTATCAAATTCGTACTATAAACATTTAGGCCGGTATTCATAGTCAGTTCTTATTTGAAGACTGTCTTAAGTAATGTCTTAAGATGCTAAAGCAGCCCTCTGATTGGTTCGTAATTCTTCAAGACTGAACTTAAGACAATCTTGAATATAAGAACTGACTATGAATACCGACCTTAGTACGCTCGATGTAAACGCTGTCGAATTATTTTGTATGTATGTACCAGCGTATCAAGCAGGTATCGTACTAAACTGATACGCTTATCAAGTGATACAAATGGCGATGTAAACGCATGAAACACATTTAATATGCGTACACCCACGGTAATTGATTCTGTCCCTCGGAAATTTTCACAAAATGAAAAGTGACCTCCTTTCTATATTAATTGTCACTATTCATGCACGATAAGATTCAGTCGTACATATATGTAATACTACTATATGGCTAGTGCCTATAAGAGGGAGTGAGAGGAAGCGGTTCCAGAACCACGGTGCGGGAATATATATTTCCCTCTCTTTCTAAGAGTACTTTGAGTGTTGTGCGCATGCGTTGGATTGATTGTATCCGCCAATAGGAAAATAGAGTGCGGTCAGTGAGATGACGCGAACAGGTTATGCTCGTTATGCTTATTAGATGTGTGCTGTTGTACACAGGCAAAAATGGTCAAGATATGTTATTTATGTGGCAAAAAGCCTAATGCGCCTAATGCGACTGAAAACATTAGTTTGCATAGGTATGAAATAGGTATTAGTTTGCACTGATTATCATGAAATTTCTGTAAGGGATTGCACTGTATTCTTATATACATAACGGCAATCTTGAAAAAGTTTATTTCATAAAATTAGGATTAATTTATTTATTCCGACTAAACTGACTCTGTTAACTGTAACAAGGTTATACCCTGAAGCGGAATCAATCACTTTTTCCTTCTTCCTTACACATATATGTATATTTATCCTTCTATTTATTATTGATGGAGGGGATGA